ATAATTAGAATAATTATCAAGTTCCAACAAAATAAATAATTATTATCTTTATAAAAAAATTATATTATTAAAACAAATATAAATTACTTCGTTATTGTACATAAATTAAATTATAAAAATATTGAATTAAAAAACTACACAAAAAATGAGGAATTTCAAATAGTTAATTTGATACTACTATCGATGTATTTTTGTCAAATTTTTATGACATCTTCAAACATATATTTTATTCAAAAATAGAAACATCATCGCTTTCTCAAAATCACATAAAACCATATTATAACATCGACTGAGATAACGAATAAAATAAAATATTAAAATCACGATGTATCTAGCTGCATTGCACGGATACGGTTCTAGTAATAATTAAATATGTACAACTAACAAAAGAAACAATGTTTAATTTTAATAAAATTGTTTGGGAGAGTTTACCAAATATTATAATATAATCTCAAAATAAATGTTGATAATAAAAAATAATATAAAGTTCTAAAAATATGTAATTATTATAATCTTTTAATTAAAAAAAACAATTTTATCTTTATACCCTTTTTATAAATAAAAATAAAATATTAAAATAAAAGAATACTTTTAAAAGTAAACATTTAGGTTGTGTTTGTTTTTTAAAAGGTGTTAAAGTCTAAAATCTGATTTTACTTTTGATTTATAAGAAATAATTTTGAAAAAACTAAAAAAAAAATATATAGACAATTAATTATGTTAAAAAAGAATAGATTAGGAAATATTATTTTTGTTTTGGATGATGGTAACGTAGCCGTAAGGGGGAGATCCGAATAAAGACGACACAGTAGGAAGATCGACAAGCATCAAATACGCATCGTTTTCTTTGTCTCTTTAAAAATCAAATCCTGCTACTAAAAACCTAAATCTCATCCTTCCAACTCTTGCTCCGTTTAAGATTTCCAGGACCAAATCCCGAAACCCAGAACCCATTGTCGTCTTCAATCCCAACCCCACCACCACCCGGCAAGATTTTTGACAAATTTTACCACCAAATAAAAAATTATATTTACAGAGAAAAGGGTCGTTGTTTGATTCCATTTACAGCTTTTGCCCTTTTGGAATCAATAGAATGGAACAGCTCGACACTTTCATTTGAAAATTACTAAACACAGGTACCCCAGTTTCTGAGAAAATCCGTAGACCCTTTCTTGCGATCGGAAGAATTCCTTCTGACATTGTTTATTTCTCCTCCTTTTTGTTTCTTTTGGGCGTCACCAAGACTTGATCATTCTCATTGGCGTTTTGAGATTTTGGGTCTGTTCCCTGTGGTCCTAGAATTGTGTCTTTTTTGGATTGCGTTACAGATGTTTGTTGTTTTGCGCCTGAGAGTTACTTTGTTGATACATGGAGAGCTTGATCTGGGTTAATAACATTACTGTCTTGTGAGATGTATATGTATATATGTATGTAAAGGAAATTAGGAAGAAGCCCATATAACATAGAAATTTTGTATAGGAGGTGGGGGTGGGGGTGGAGGTGGGATAATGAGCAAAGAGCTGACCGGCATCTTGAAGTCCTGGGAAGTGAAAGTCAAGAAATCACAAGCAGCTGCAAAGAAAAGGGCGGTCAGCATCTTCACCACAATGTCTGTGGCCCATGTAGATGAAGAAGCTAGCGACACAGAGGTTTCTCATGTGGAGAAGATCTTCTCCAATGGCGACATCTATATTGGTCAGTGGGCAGCTGAAAACTGCCCTCACGGTGATGGAAAGTACTTATGGGCAGATGGGTGTATGTATTTTGGTGAGTGGTATAAGGGCAAGAGCAATGGAAAAGGGAAATTTAGCTGGCCTTCTGGTGCTACCTATGAGGGTCAATTCAAGAATTGTTATATGCATGGTGAGGGTACTTTTACAGGTTCTTTGAATGATACTTATAAAGGTTGTTGGGTAATGAATAAGAAACATGGAAAAGGGAGCACAAGTTATGCCAATGGTGATCACTATGAAGGGGATTGGAGGAAGGGGTTACAGGATGGTCAAGGGACGTATCAATGGAATAGTGGTCATCAGTATGTTGGTCAATGGAAGAAGGGGAAGATGAATGGGAATGGAACCTTGATTTGGGCTAATGAGCAACGGTATGATGGGACTTGGGAAGCTGGATTGCCGAAAGGCAATGGTACCTTTAGGTGGGAAGATGGGAGTTTTTACGTAGGTGTTTGGGGTAAGGATCAAAAAGAGCAAAATGTGAAGTTTTATCCGTCGACTCCCCCGGTATCTCATGATGATTGGGAACCTCGTCAGCTGTTTTCAGTTGAGATGAATCAATGTGTGATTAGTGAGGCTGAGTCCATTACAGAATTCCCTTCGGATAAGGTGTTTAGTTGGTTGAATGGTGAAGGCAAGCATCACAAGCGACAAATCAAGAAGAATCCCAAAAATGATAACAGGGGTGGGAGACAATCTGTTGATGGAAGGGTTAGCAATGGTGATGGTTTGGGGTCAGATGGGGTGGGCAGTGGACATATTCATGGGTTGGGAATTAGACCACATTTGGCAGAGAGGCAAGGGATCACAATATGCAAAGGCCATAAGAATTATGAGCTCATGCTCAATCTACAGCTTGGGATAAGGTATTAACTGGATTCATATCATGGTTAAAATTGGCATGTTTACATATATATGTGCTAAAAATAGTTCTTTGCGTTACGTTCAAGCTACCACCTTTTGGCATGTTAGGTGTATATATATATATATATCCGCGTGTAATGTGCATATTTCTCTTACTTTCAATGTCTTAACACTTGTGCTACCTGCTGTTCTTGTGTCTTGTCTTCTTTTATATCAAGATCATAAAAGTTATACCTGGAAAGGAGAGTAGAGCCGCAGAAAGGAAAGGGCATGGATCAATTGCTCGAAAATGGGAAGTTTAAGAAAAGCCCATATTGATGATGCACAACCTTTTTATTCCCATAGATGTCATAATAGGATAGTGAATTTCTTTTATGGGATGAGACAATTACTAGGTTTTCTAATATGGATTATAACATTTGCAAAACATTATGACGCCCGTTTTGGAGCAAAGATTAAGCCTGAATGCTATAAAGTTGTGCAATTAACGACCATTATTACCACCCCATCTGCATATGAATCTGTATAGTTGTAAACTGTATCTATTATTCATGCATTTGTCAAGTGTTCATGCTTGTTATTAATTGATGGCGCGATTCCAGACATTCTGTAGGGAGGCCTGCTCCAACTAAATCTCTTGATTTGAAGCCTACAGCTTTTGACACCGAGGAGAAGTTATGGACCAGATTTCCACCCGAAGGATCCAAACATACTCCACCTCATCAGTCATGCGATTTTAGATGGAAAGACTATTGCCCGTTGGTTTTCAGGTTTGCCCTTGAAAGTTTCATATAATATGCAACTATCACGATATATTTGGATTGTTTTTGGTAATATTGTTCGTTCTGCATATGCTTGATCTTGCAAAAGCTAGTTTTATACTCGGTTAAGCTAATACAACTATGTGGTTGCCATTTTTTCGTAATTGTTTCAGGACTCTTAGGAAATTGTTTAATGTGGATCCAGCTGACTACATGTTATCGATTTGTGGAAATGAGGCTCTTCGGGAACTCTCTTCTCCTGGAAAAAGTGGCAGCTTCTTTTACATGACGAATGATGATAAGTACATGATAAAGACAATGAAGAAGGCAGAAGTGAAAGTGAGTCGATCCCAATCCATTTCTCTTTATTTAATACTTGATTCCAACGTTATCAATGACCAAATAATCCAAAAAATCCAACGTCAAAATCTCATGATCTTGTTAATAACCATTTTCAGGTACTAAAGAGGATGCTTCCAGCATATTTCGAGCATGTGAAGAACTTTGAAAACACCCTTGTCACGAAATTTTTTGGATTACACTGCGTGAAGATGGGTGGACCTTCCCTACGGAAAGTATGACTGAAAGTAAAACACAAGAAATAATATGAATTTTGAGATTTTATTACATTCAGTCGCTGATCATAGCCCTTTTTGATGTTTTGGATTCATGAGCCAGGTGCGGTTTGTTATTATGGGAAATTTGTTCTGTACTGAGGTACCTATTAGCAGGCGGTTCGACCTGAAAGGATCTTCCCATGGCCGAATAACGGATAAACCCGAGTCTCAAATCGATGCAAATACTACCCTCAAAGACCTTGACCTCAATTTTATCTTCCGGTTACAGAAAGATTGGTTTCAAGAGTTCTGTAGGTGAACTTATTACTTGTTCTCATCTATTTCTTCCCAAACTATCCTTTCCATTTATACTGATTACATTAAACAATACGGAGGAAATATGCGTACTTTTGGTGATATAGGTTGATCATTAACCAATAAATGACCAAATGCTTCTTTATTTGAATTGATTTCTTGATATCTTATCACATGTATGCAGTATTGAAGCACGGAATCTGTTAAAAAGCGACTTTATCTGCTATCTTTGATCATTTCTTCGTTCTTTGAGCTGAAGTAGATTGTGGTTTAATGCAGGCAAGTGGAGCGGGACTGCAATTTTCTTGAACAAGAAAGAATTATGGATTACAGTCTTTTAGTCGGTATTAGCTTTCAAGAATGCAATCAGGAGTTATCAGCCGATGAAGGCTGTTTATCCGAATCTTGTACTCCCAGAGGTTGGTTTCTCTCTTTTGCCCTCTAATACGAACAACTTCATGAGCCGAGCTAACAATTATCTCGGGCATTTTAGGGAACGTTGAACCGGATAGCAGAGGGACAACTCCTAGAGGTTCTTCAGCAGATACGGATGAACCTCTCAATCCTACACGGTAAGTTTTAAACTTGTAAAACTTTAATGTGCTTAATGAGCTCAATGGTCCGTAGGGCTTATTCTCTAAGCCGTATCGGGGTGTTTGTTTACGGCTTATTGATTAAGCCATTGTATATTTGATTTGCCTCTCACATGATAAACTTGGGGCGGGGCGGTGTGGGTTGGCTCAGGGGTTGCCAGTTAGAAACCCTTTTATTTAAACTTAAACCTTTTTGTATTACTACCAAATTTTCAGGTGGGCATCTGTAAGGCTCGGCATTAACATGCCTGCACGGGTCGAATCCACCGTCAGAAATCACGAGACTCAGTTAGTTGGAGAACCAACCGGAGAATTCCACAACGTTGTCCTCTTCTTCGGTATAATAGACATTCTACAAGATTACGACATCAGTAAGAAGCTCGAGCATGCTTATAAATCTTTTCAATACGACCCGACTTCCATCTCCGCCGTCGACCCCATACAGTACTCAAAACGGTTTCATGATTTCATATTTAGTGTTTTCAAAGAAGACAGCTAAAGTTTTTTTCAGCTGAAGAGCTGGTGAGCCTAAAATGTACAGCCCCGGTCAAAGACGGATTTGATCGTTGACCGTGATTACCGGTGTCAGGTCCGATCGTTGATGATAAAATGTATACATGCATACATACGTATAGCAGTTTCCGGTACGATTTTGGTCTGTATTTATATACTGGATTGAGTTATAGAATAGGGTTATAGTTGTTAGAGGTTAGTGAAGTTGTAGATGTTAAAAGTGATGAATGAGTTCAAAATGTGTAGTAATGTTGTTTTGAAACTGATCCTCAATTCCATAAGGAAGGGTTGGTGCCTACTAAAACAAAGATTGACAAAGAAAATTCCAAAAGCAGAATTGTTTCTTTTAATCTTTTTGTGAAATTACTAAAATACCCCTTTTGATATATGAAAAGAGTGAGGTGTAGGGGAAGGGGAAAAAAAATAAAAATGGAAGAACACCTTAATAACCATTCGTCTGTATAGTATGTATTATGTGCATACAAGTAATTTGTTCGGTATACACATGTGCATAAAAACTCGGAAACATCTTCAATACTGATATATAAATGTGAGTATAAAACAAATGACATGTATGCACATATGATGAATAATTATTAAGGTGTTTCTCGATTTTTAATTTTTTTACGATTTTTCCTGAACTTATATAACAGTTGTTTAACAATTAGCTGTGATATATAGGTTAACACAAGGATGTCAAATTCGTAACAATCAATTGATATGAACTAAATTATTTCGGTAGTATTATATTTAATAAAATATTATTTATCTCTTCTAATCATTTGTTTTAAATACGTTTAATATTATTTCTCTTTTAGAGGAAGTGTTAAAGATTTCTTTAAATTTAGAAATTTTCATATTTTTTTTAATATTACCATACAACATGATATAATTGTTGGAATACAAAACTTGCTTTATATCATCAAAATTTCTATTATAAGATAACTGTTGAAGATGCTCGTAATATAGTATCTTCATTTGGTATTAATTAGACATTCTTTTTTCAAATATAAAATCTAATATTTAAATGATTTTCCTAAAAAAATAATTTAAGAATTATTACAAAATTGTGCATTTAAGAAGGTGTGAAACGGATTGGTGGGTAAGGAAACAAGACAACATGGAGGGAGGAATATCACATGATCTCATCTCTCATTTGTGTCAAGGAAACATGTGTCCAATCTTCTTTTCGGACCTCTACATTTAATTATAAATTATATATATATATATATATATATATATATATA